GGGGGGGGGGGGGGGGGGGTAGTAGTAGTAAGGAGGGGAAGAATGCAAAGGCTGTTTGCAGTGTGCGACTGAGGTACTACTAGTCCTTGAAGTGCGTGGCGGAGGCGGTGGCGGCAAGGGTGTTGTGCAGGCAGCAGGCTGGCGGCGTGGGGGGGTGATTTTCAGGCCAATTAGAGAGCACCTCATTAGGGTCAATTTACGGACCGTAATTGGATTATCCTTACCGCCAGCTTGGACTAGAAGGGGAAGGGGGAGAGGGGGGCGAGGAAGCGAGAGCAGCCCCACCGGTGGTGGAGAGCATGAGACTCGACTGCGAGAAGGATATGTCGCCGCCTTGGGAGAAGCTGCTCTGCTCGGCCGCAAGACTCCCACAAGTCCCTGATGATACCCGAACAGTACCATACCTGCTCCTAGCGCCCCCCGGCACGAGGAGTGGACCAGCAGCAGCAGCGGCAGCAACAGCCCCCGAGCGGTCCGTGATAAGGAGGCCATCACAGCGCCTTAGTTACCTGCAAGCACACGAGACGGACAACGTTATTCACAGCAAACTCCCTTTGTTTAAACATTTGCAAATGAAAACTGTTGAAATAAACAAGACACATTTTTGATTTTCTTTGCCGTTTCCAGAGGAAGGGAAGAGGAACACGAGGACAAATTCCAATCGAGACACCCTCTCTCCCCCCTCTCCCTACCCCCTCCAGACGGACGACCGACCCGCCCCTTCCCGCACAGGTAAACAGACTGTGAGCTCCCTCCGATCGTGATTAGCTTTCGGATGGGATGAAAGTGCGTTTGGAAAGTAATCCGGGCGGACGCACGACAAACTCGATACAGCAGATCCACCCCTCTTTTTGACGTTCACCTGGACTTTGTCCGCGCTCCGGGCAAACGGGAGGGTCAACAATACAACAAACATGAACAACAACAAAAAATTACACAAAAGTACACAAACGCCCCGACACACGCACACACACACGCAGAAAAGAAAAAATTGAGCCCACGAT